TTCTTTATTGTCATTCGCACCTCATGTGGTACATGTGGTGGAGCGAAATTATGTACACGGGGTCCCAGTTACATCCAACAATAAAATGTCTAAGAAAAACAGTAATAACATCTAAGATATGAACTAAGAAAAACATCAACTAAATATACACTAAGCACTCATAACATAAAACATTGAACATCAGCACAAACATGAACATGAGTCTGTGAGCAGATGTGCACGCATGAACACATCAACATTGAAACAGATCAGCAGCAACATGAAACAGATCAGCAGCAACATGATATGGTTTTTCACAGTGATTATTCTAGTTAGAGATTCATGAGTCTAACAGCCTCAGGGTAGAAGCTGTTCCTCAGTCTAGTGGTTCTACACTTAATGCTCCTTAACCTCCTTCCTGAGGGGAGTGGGGCAAAAAGTGTGTGTGCTGGGTGGGTGGGGTCCTTCATGATGCAGGTGGCCCTCTTCCTGCATCTGGAGGTGTAGATGTCTGTGATGGTGGGGAGACTGATTCCAACAGATTTCTGTGCAGCCTTCACCACTCTCTGCAAAGCTTTTCTTTCTGCAGCTGTGCAGCCTCCATGCCACACATTGATGCTCGAGCACAGGATGCTCTCCACTGCACACCTGTAGAAGGAGGTGAGGACTGAGCTTCCCAGACCAGCTCGCCTCAGCCGTCTGAGGAAGTAGAGTCTCTGATGAGCTTTCTTGATCAGGCTGGTGGTGTTGTTGCTCCAGCTGAGGTTGTCATTCATGTGTACACCCAAGTACTTGTAGCTGGAGACCACTTCCACCGCAGATCCTCTTATGTTCAGGGGGGTGTAGGTGTTTTTGTTCCTTCTGAAGTCCACAATCATCTCCTTTGTCTTCTTCACATTGATGTGAAGGTTATTCTCTCTGCACCAGCTCTCCAGGTGTTCCACCTCCTGCCTGTAGCTGGACTCATCATTGTTTGTGATGCATCCCACCACCGCTGTATCATCTGCAAACTTTACAATGTGACAGCCTGGATGGGTAGCTGCACAATCATATGTGAGCAGAGTAAACAGGAGGGGGCTCAACACATCCCTGAGGAGAGCCAGTGCTGAGGGTTATGGTGGAGGAGGAGAGGTTGTGGATCCTCACTAACTGTGGTCTGTTTGTTAAAAAGT